AAAAAAAAAAAAGAAAAACTAAAGTGGAAGAAAGCGACTGATTCAGGAAGCACACTAAAACGAAGGAAGTTCATAACAGTTACCCGGCTCAACAAGGATTTAAATGACCAGATTCCAATCACTAGCCAAGAGAAAAACGGATCTGAAGTACACCTGAGTTGCATTCTACATCAATTTAGAAACCATTACTTTACTGACCCTTAATGGTTAATTGTTTAAACCCCATATTCTGACATGACAGTCATCATAAAATCTACATGAACGGCAATCCGCGAACACTGAAATGGAAGCCAAATAATCATTTTATAACCAAAATCTTTCTAACAATCACAAAAGCTTATTCATAAAAAGTAAACTCGAGAAAATAAAAGAAGACATTACTGAAAAGAACGCCCATGCGACAGAATCAAAACTATGACTGCACTTGACGCCTCAAGTGTGGAGGAATGTATTTCCCCTTTCCCACCTGTGGAGTCTGTTTTGGAGCTAACGGGTTGGGTGCACCGCTGGACGTTACCTAAAGAAACGGAGGATACTAGTAAAAAGTTGCGCAATTAGAAATAACTGCTAGAAAGGTGCACAAAATCAATGAATCTACACTCAAAACAAAAAGACATACATATAGAAAAGCAGATATGCACTTATTAAATGATTTATTTGTCTGTAAATACAGTCGCACCTGTTTTACTGCTGCCAAAGCCGCTCCGCGATCACCTCCCGCTGAAGACACAGCACTTCTTCTATCCCATGCGTTTGTATTACCTCCACCTGACCCTCTCGAATCTCTATCTGATGTCACCACAGTGAAACCATCATTCTTCCTGACAGAAAATCCTTGTCAGATAACTGACTACAAAGTAAGGAAGAAGAAAAAGCTAGAAGCTAAAAACTTCAAGATTAGAAAAGAGTCAACGAGGATGTGCCACACAAAACAACAAGGACTAAAACAAAAACTAAGCTAGACCTTCTTAATGAAACTCTGGAATCAAAACGAAAGAAAATAAGCAAACTTATATAGTCATGATAGCTAGCACTTCCGTATAAATGGAAAAAACAGGTTCAGAGGAATTTATGGACAGGGATACAAACCCATAACTAATAATAAAAGTTTAAGTACAAAAACTGAAGATGCTAGATGAACTTACTTCTTTCTCTCAACATCTTTGTTGATCTTTTCCATCTTTTCTGCATCAGCAAAAGTCGGGAACATGTCATGGTCATCTAGGTTTGGTACCACACCGGTTTTTTTCAATGCAGCAAGCTGTTTTTGCCGCACGACATACTTCTGAGGTTGAGGTGGTATTTGGGGAAAAATGACTTCTTCGCTTGACTCCTTCTTCTATAATCAAAACATTCTTTATTTTGCTAGGTTTAATTCAAGTTATGCTTTCCTTCAACTATTTTTATATAAAACCAACGCATAAGAACAACTGAGAGAAGTAAAAATATTTTTTTTTGATTTAGAAGATAAAAATGTTTCGCAAGAAAGTTGATTCAGAAAAACGACTTCAGCCGTATTCCACGTTTTCGGAGCCTCATTTGTTGTCGCCTTCTCTTCTTCTAACGCTTCCTCAACCTGTTCGGTCAGATTCATATCACGAATTCCAAGTTCCTCCAGTACTATTTCTCTTAACAAATAACAACGATACTGCGACGAATAAACAGGGCATTTAAAGTCAAAAAACCCGCTTATCGCTCACTTTCATTACTAACCTATTTGAATCCTTATATTCAAGCCATTCAGAATCTTCTGAGCGCCGCTCTACATTTGCCTCCTCTTGCGCAGCTTTTTCAGCACCTTCATTCTCGCGATCACGCTCCTCCTATAAATTTTAAACGACACGACTGTTCAAAGAAAAAAAATCAAGATTCCTGAATCAAGATAAAAAACGATCGACAAAAATGCTATGTAAATCCAAAAACTGAATTTAGTTTGCAGCAAATACTTTAAAATTACTTGGCGTTTGGCTTCCCGCTCTAGAACTTCGCCAACCTCATCCAGGTTGACCTTGACTTTTTTCTTCTTATCTTTAGTCTTAGCAGCTTTTTTTGCAAAAAATTGTGATAGGTCGTCTCCCATGCTTAAAAAACTGACTGATCGCAATGTTAAAGAAAAAGAAAATAAAAAAGATATCAGCAAAGTAAAACACCATAAAAACAAAGAGACGTACGAGATATGAAGTCGAAATTAAAGAATCCAATCAAAGATTACGTCCTACGCGAGATTCGGAATACCTCTAGTTGTTCTAGGTCACGTGGCTTTTTTGCCAACAAAGTTGTTTTCTCTAACTGAAACAAAAAAACAGTTTATAACTTTGCTATAAAGAAAAGGAAACCAATTAGGTAATGTATAACTGTAGAGATCAATTAAAGACCGAAGGCGAATTAAGAGATAGAAGATTGTCTGGTAAGTACTCAACATGCCAGGTTGCTCAAAATTTATTTTCGATTCAGGGTTTTCTTTGTTATGATGTGTACAACTCAATACACCACAGCTCCACCCGAACCTGGTGGGAATGTAAAGTAGATTCTCAGCTGCATGTCACCATTTTTCTACCTGATTGTGTACTAACCCCTTCTTCTGAAAACCATTCTCAGAAAAACCATTGTGAAAAGCATTTTTGAAGAATGAGTCTCAGATCACCCGGATTTCGGCCCATTTAAAACGCAGAACACAGCTAAACAACTGACTCATCAGAAATGAATATTCACTCCTAACACCTTTGCTCCAGTACATGAGCTGTTAGAAGACAGTTAATCGGTTCTCAGTCCACTGCAACTTGTGGAGAAAAAAATTCAGCAACTACAGTTACCTCTCAAAGAATCACTTTTTACATTAGGATATAAGTGTGACGGTAGACTTTATCGTATCAATTTATGGAAGAACCGCGATAGACAACAGCAGACAATCGCATTCTCAGAAACAATCTCCACAGAAGAACTGGGCAGAGAAACACATCTCTACAGCCATCAAAAATTTTAAAAAACAATTCCAACTACTTCTCCTAAAGCCTCACTCTAAGTAAAGATAGTTCCTTTACGGCAGTAATAATTGATGCAATAGACGGAGGAAGCGCAAAATCTAACCAGTCCCTGAAAATGAAATCTTACCATAGACAATTATAACTGCTGCCCAATAATAATCTCAAAAGTTCGAAAATTTAGCTGTAAAGGAACGTTTGCGGAAAAATGTGAACGAAAGGAAAAAAAATATGTGTAAGTTACAAGAAAAGAATGCCACACAGTAGCAGGTGAAGAAGGCATGACAACCAGCATAAGCTGTCGAAACAACTTTATTACTGTGATTCATCTCCAACGACACTTGTGTCTTATAAAGTTTACTACTGGAAATTTTGAGCGTCACATAGTCCTCATAGTAGCTTATCATTTCTTCATATAAACTATTATGGTCTCCTTCCTCATTTAGTTTTTACTGCGTAAAAGCAAAACGAAAAAACTTCTCAGGCAATGTGGAAATAACTGTTAACAAGTACCAAATGAGCAAAAAGTGGAATATGACAACAAACAGTACCAACGGTGGGAGGTTTAAACAATAGTGCAAAAACCGAAGTTAACTGGTAAGAGAAAAATCATCAATTGATTAATTGTGGTTAATCATTCCTGTAATAGCCATTATCGCTCATGTTTTTTTCAATGCTATTTTGTCCTACGCAAAACTCGTTAAATCAACAAAAGTAGTATAGCAATTCGATGAAAAGTTTTTGGCGAAAAAAAAAAAACAATAATCAAATGTCACAAAAAAACTTTTTTCATTTCTTCCACTTTTTTACGCCAAAAAAAAGTGATTGGCCAGTAACCAAAAAAAGCAGGGCTTAAAGTCAAAGAATAGTAAAAAAAAAATTTTTTCCTGCCCTTAAGGGAAGAAAAATGTATATATTTAGTACTTTTTTTTTGCAATCTCTCTCCCCCTAATCTTTCCCAAATTCAAAAAAATGAAATTATGTACACATTTACTATTTGTTGATGACGTGTTGCTGTAGACGCGTACATACAGTGAACAGAAAATTTTTTTTCGACATGCAGCCACAATAATTAGGTAGATGGGCAAGATGTTGTTTGTACGCAAAAAGAAGTTCTGGTGAACAAACCTGGAAAAAATGGAATCTGAAGTTTTCGTAGATTCTCTGAGGCTACCAAAACAAAAGGCAAATGACGAGGAAACACGCTTACTAACAACGATCAACCTCGTGAACACCGTCAACATACTTTCATAAAAGCTCCTGCAACTCATTAACAAACAAGGGCGAAATAATAAAAAAAAAAAACCAGAAAATACGGTGCATCGTTGCAGAACTTTATTAGTAAAAATCCATCTACAGCAACACTATATTTTTCACTTCGACTACAGGCTATCATTGGACCGAAAGAAAAAAAACGTTATCGCCCTTTTTGTACCGATTAATGCCATTAGAAGCCGATTAACGATAACAAAAGATTACGTGAGTTTTGATTCTGATTGTATACTCTTAGCTTCCTGTGTTTGCTACGCTGCAGTATCATTGTCACCTTAGACAGCTTTTTACCGATGTATGTGTGTTAGAATCGATATCGTCACTTTAACCTGCTATTACACATCGTCCAGAACACAACTTACCAAAATCGTGTATACTTTCAGATATATACAGATAAATATATTCTTATACAGCAATTTCAACTTAATGTCACTGCTGTTGAAACGTATTCTTTCTTCAACAACCAGCGAATTCAACTATTTTACAAGGCATTTACTTGGTGTTCACGATGGATGTAAAACTCAAACTGCTGGCATGAAGGTTTTCTTTACTTGTCTGAAGAAGAATTTCTCTTCATTTGAGTGTTTATAAAAGCCAAATTCTTAAAACTCGAGAAAAATTTTGTTAAATGAATGAATGAAAGAAATTTTTTTGATTTACTTGTTTGGTTCACTTTTGTGATGGGTTTCAAAAAACATTACCTTTTTCCGCTTTCGTCCCCCTTCTCTTCTTTCTTCACCACTTCCCAAAAAATCTAACCCATTCTTTTCCACGATATCCAACCATGAGAAGAAAGAAATATCGGCTTATTTTAAGGTGAGATCTATGTTGAAACTAAGATGCCCATATTGCTATTTTATTCGGATCGATGGTCGAATGCATGTAAAATGCAACAAACATCCTCGCCATAATGCTGCCGAACCTTATAACGTAAAGCTTCTTTGGTAACAGTTTGCCGAATAGTGAAGCTCTTGAGTTATTCGTTGTTTCTTTCGTGTCATTTGGTAGGCAATTTACTTCGTAATTTAAACTGCCTGAAGCATCGATCTTTAATAATTTTTAGATACGTGTAGAGTGCATCTAAACTTTCATCTTTCTACCTATTCTGGTAACAGTCACATTTTTAGCGAAGATATTTTTTCTGGAACACTTGTTGTGTTATTTTTTTCAATGCAACATTGGGATGCTTTCAACTTCCGAGCACTTTGATTGAATACTAGGAAGCATTTTCTGTACCTGGTTACTTTTTATATCTTCGAGTTTCAAATGTAAAATATATGTATTTGTTCATAGCATTATGCGAAAGTTGTGAAAGTTATAAGGATGAGGGACGCCACACGCGACACATGCAACTTGTAACTGAACATGGTCTATTACTTCTAAGTTGTCTTGCTTGAGAATATAAATTTTTTGGGCTCAAGATACTGCAAAAGAACAGTCAAACATGAAGTTGAGCGGAACGCCATTTCAGCTCTTTCAGCTTAGTTTTGGGGCAGGCCAAAGTTAATTTTTTAAAATTAGTCTTCCACTTTAGGTCACATTTTTTGAAGTTTGGAACTTTTTGAAAGCAAATTCTTTTAAAAGCCGAGTAGGAGTTAATTCCTCCTAGAAAATTACTGCTGTAGCCAGAAACGACCACTGGAATACGCCAACTTGAACCGCGTTGTGTGTGGCGCCTCCTGTTTAGAACTGTGCCCAATTCGAGTGCACGAATCGGATAGCGGCACTTTTTAGACGCTTAAGGATAAAATCGGTCAACTGAAATTGTATAATTTGTTAGCAGTGATTTATTTTTTGCTGCAGCATGTCTAAAAACGTGGTAATTAGAGGAATTTACAATAAATTCTTTGAATATTGAAATGTCATACTGATAACTACAAGATTTGGTTGTCTTTTTTATTTTTTCATGTGTTATAAAGTTTATGGGATTTGTTATAAGTAAATCTGCAGGAATGTTAAGGTTTCCCAGAATTGCCTTGAAATCGATGAACTAGGTAGGAGAAGATCATTTGAAATATTGGAAATATCTTCTTGCCATTTTAGGTTTAGGAAATAGAGGCATTCACTGTGAGGGGATTTATGTCGCTTCAGTCTTAGTCTATTGAGCTGCAGCCTTGCAAATTTTTGTATACAGAGTGTCCGCGTAAAAGTTCCTCTTGTTTTTGACTGATTTACTTATCTTTGGAGGAAGTGATTGGAACATTTGAATGCAGCCTGTAGGCTGCAAGTCGTCCCGGTAGCTGTTTTATTATTGCAGTCTTGAAAAAGTCAAGAACTTACTGACTGTGGTAAGATTAAATTTTTGTTTAGTTTTTTTTTTTTTGTCTCTTGAGTTTAGTTCATGACTCTTCAGTGAAATCTGCTAGTCTGGACATGAGATGGGGTCTGCAGAAGTTGATCTATGTTTCGAGATACTCGATGACCATTTTGGTCCTGTTATAGCCGCGGTTGGCCATGCTTTACTTGAAGAGGCCTGCACTTTGCCTGCTTTAATTTATCGTCTGCGGCCAAAACTTCGTGTTTATCAGGTATATGTGCATTAGTGTGAAAGGCAAATAGATTCTCTTTGTAATGGGGTGGAAAATGTGTTGTATTTTTAATGTTTTATTCTTTATTCCGCCTTCTGAATTGCTTTCTTAAAACAGAAATTATTTTTCCTGATTTTACTTGATAGAATTATTGTAGATTAAAAGGGCCTTGGTCATTTTGGAACAGCACAATTTGTTGAAATTTGAAAAAGAAGAAAAAAGAATAATCTACTCTGTTAATTGTGAAGATGTAATAAGGCTACTGCGTGCCGCTCGTTGTTCTTTGGTTGCAAAAACATTATACGGTGAAGCTGCTGAAGCGATCTGCGAAGAAATTTTTACCCACGGACGTTTGACCTGTTCAGAATGTATTCGTAGGGTAGCCACTAGGCTGGAATTACCGCCGGTTGATGTAAATTTTTGTTGTATGCTAAAATACAGCAGATACTAGTTGTACTGTTAGCTGTCCTAGAGACTAATTGTATTATTTGCGTGACCTGTGTTTTATAGGTAAAAGCCCAGTTTGTTGGACTTGTGGAGTCACAGCTGTTAATTAGGTGTGCTAAAGTGGAGAGTAATGGATCTGGTTTTCCTGTTTTTGTAGCTGGAAATTTTTCTTTTGTGATGCCTGAGAAAGTTTCTGTTTTACCTGTGAAGACGGAGGACCATGGATCGCCCAAAACTGGTTGAAAAATTACTTTTTTTGTTATTCTTAAACATTAGATCGTTTGAAAGAAAATTTTCTACTTTTAGTTGCTACTTAATTTATGAGGTTATGGACGTATTTAAATCTTTCAAAGTTTATTTTACTATGTTTTCTAGATTTATTGTTTTATTTAATCAGTGTTTATACAGAAAGTTCGAGGAAGCGGAAATTGAACGAACAGGTGATAGACCCAGATTTTGATATATATTGGAGATTGCACTTCCCAAGATTTGAACGGTTCTTAAGAGATGAAATGACAGTTGAGACTATAGATGGTGAATTTGATAATACTTTGTTGCGTAAGACTGCAAGAGTACTACTCAAGATTTGTGAGGTCAAAAGCGATTCAATACTGGCTGCTTCATTTCCAATTTCTGTGAGTTGTTTTTTAGTAGAAATCTTTGTTATAATTTTTGTCACATTGTAGAATTGTAAAATTAAGATGACGGGTCATAAAGTCACCGCAGTTTTTGAAACAGATTGTTTTATTAAGAAATCTTCTAGGTTTTTTCATTCATAAGCTCATTAAACCCTTATTTTGCTGATATCATGTTTTTGAATGGGAAGTTCCAAAAAGGTGATTTAGACGTCTTTCACAAGTCTTCTGCAGATTCATGACATTGTCCGGTGCGCAGGTGCAAATAACATGGGACTTGAAAAGAGGGATATTGAAACTGCTTTAAAAATCTTGAGTGATGGCCAGAAAATCGTTAGGAAAGTTGGAGACAGTGCAGGAGGTTTATATGTTATTGGTCAGTGCTGACTCTATTGAATTTGTAGAAGGGAACTCCTTACTGCCTTTTTTTAAATATGTTTTGTACGAATACATAGGTTCTAGTGTTATCTGCTAAAAGTTTTATTGCCTTTAGATTTTGAAAATGCAGTAATTATGCGTTGTCAAGGTCTAGTTGAATCCGTTATAAGAGAAAAGATAGATTCACGTGCTGTCCGGATTTTTCGGCTTCTGCTTCAAACTGGCTATTTAGGGGAGGATCAAGTGACTAAATTTTGCATTCTATTGTTTATTGGCTAATTATTATGATGTTTCTTAAGTTTATGCATTGGTACTTCTTATTAGCCTTTCAGGTCATTCAAGTTATGAATTTCAGATTGAGAAGTTGGCTATGCTGTCCGCTAAGGAGGCGAAACAGCTGTGCTACAATTTGATCGAGAATGGTTTTGTTACCATAAAGGTTAACATTCTTTATTGGAGACATATATTAGATAAATATGTTGTCTATGGGAATCAAATATCAGAAAAATTTTTTAGCACGTGGGAAAAACTAATGATTTTAACACCGCGAAAACGATTTATCTTTATCACGTAGACCTTGGTAAAGCAGCTCACGAACTTTATCTTCAAACTTGTAAAGTAAATAGTTTTATTTGTGAACTAAATTTAAAATACTTGCTTATGGTTAATAAGAAAACAAATATTAGTGAAAACTTGATTTGTTATTTAAAGTAATATTGTTTTGTATTTCCTTTTTGCTCTTATTCTTCTATGCTCTTCATAAATAATATTTCAAATTTATTCATATCTTTTTTACCTTTAGTCTCTCTGCAACGTGATTGTGAGAAGAAAACACGAAACAAAAGAGCATAAGTAAGTGGTCTGATGGTATTTCTTCGTTTTTGGTGCATCAATTTGCGAGTCGAAAATTTAGGAACCTGATTGAGCGGAATCTCAAGAGAGAGACAATTATTGCAACAATACAAAGTGATGATGGTTTGGATGAAGCTACGAAGCAACAGCAAGTAATGCCTGTGTATTTTTTTCTTTCCTTTATTGGGTTAAACTTTTGCTTATTTAGGTAGAAGTATATGGTAAGTATGTAGCACCTTGGTTGTTTATATTGACAGTGCTAATGGTGGAACATATAAATTTTTAATTTTAGATAGCTGAGGTTGAAGAAACTTATATGACCAATGAAGATCGTTTAAATTTGGAGAGTTATAGGCAGGGACAAAATTCGCTATTGTGCTCTGAAATTGAACTTGACAAAGACCTCTTATTGCTTTCCTTGTATCTTCAGTTTGATAAATTTCGACCATAGATTTGAGAAATAATTTTTTCAATAATGTAAAAAAAGTACTCGCACTATTTAAATCTGAAGTCGTCCATCTGTTTCGCTTTGAAATATTGCAATATTTCACTGCTGACAGCGGAATCCTTATAAAGCTCGTAGGTTTGGATTTCAAAATGATTTTTATGAACTAGGTTCAAATACACATTTTTATCGTTTGTTTTTAGCTAACTTCTACCTCAAAATTGTTGTTTTTCACAAATATATGGTTTGATTACGGGTTTTACAGTTTTGATTAGTATAACCTTTTCGGTAAAGTTTTTTGAACATTATTCAATAATTTCTTTTACTTTTATTTGGACTCCAAAATAATAAACAGCTCTTGGACAGTTTGGATTTGAAAAGATGCTGTGATTTTTGGAGCATGCTTTTCTTAAACAAGTACATTAACAAATTATTGAGCCTTTTTGTTGTGATAAGGTTGAGAACAAAATTAGGTTTTCTGGTTTATTTTGGGATTCGTATGATAGAGTTTTATGGTGGCATAATCTCATTAGCTCTTTTAAAAAAGTAATTCATTAAAAACTTCAATTGTTGTTTACAGATAAATTTGATGATTATTTGAACACTTATGTCAGTAGAATAGACCGTAAATCTCGGATGGATTTTTTATAGGTTTTAAACACTGTCAAAGAGCTCGATGAAGTTAAAATTTCACTTTTTTTTGCAGTATACTTTTGGAAGTAGTTTTCAAGAAGAAGAATTTAGTGTGATACAAATTTAGCATTACTAGAAAAGAGATTTGCAGGTCTTTGTAGGACTCAAAACTGTTTGCAGCTGTTTGTATCGATGTAGGTCTGTGTTTGGCGAAGTGTTGTAATAAAGATTATCCCAAATGGTGTTTTTCATTTTTCTTTTATCGCATAATCGCTAAACAGGATAACAAAAAAACAGCTCACAGTGTATTCACCTTCTTAGTACCGTATTTTGCACTTTCTTCTAGAAATATTTTTACTGAAACTAATTATCGGTTGACTATTATCAGAAATTGGATTAAAAATTGCACTAAACATTGAATTTACGAGTCAATGGATGACTATTGCCCACTAAACTTTGACGAATTGCATGCTAAAGCAGTTAGTTGACTAACTGAATTTCTGAATTGTGAATTAAATTTTTTAAGCAAAGGTCAGTTTTAGAAATTTTTTGCTTTCTGAGTTTTTGACTAGAACTTGTTCCTCTATAGTTGTAGTAAGCTCATGATTAAAAATAATCAACATTTTTTCTTCGCCACTGAGACCTGGTTTGTTTTTTAGCAACAAAGTTAGTTTCTAAAACAAATAAAAGTTTTGGTAAGAAAATATTATACTTGAAATTTTATTGTACTATATCACAACACTTAAATGCTGCTTTCCTAATTTGCGGAATATTTATTCGCCGTATTTGCCATTAACAGTATTCGCAGTAAGGAAGAAAGAACGTTAAATTATAAACTGAGAAGTAACTATGCTATACTTCCATATGTTTTTCTTTCTTTCTTTCTATTGCTTAAAAATTTTTTCAGTTATATTTGAATAGCAATCAACCAGAAACTGAATGGTCACAAACTTCAACAGGTTCAATTAACATTAAAACAAATTTTTTTTACTACCAGTAGAGTATTGATACGTTTAAACTTTAGACGTATTCCAGTATACTCATTCATATGGGTTTTTTTCAATTTCTTTATGCTGTTGTTTATTTTTAACCAAAAGCAGTTCAATTAAATGTCCATGAAGGATTGATTGCAACTACTACAAACTTCAAAGATTTTTCTGTAATTTTGAAACAGCAGCGGTCATAGAACTGCAAAGATGAGATTCAATAAAATATCTACAGTACCCGTTTTTACATGTAAGCACTAGAATTTTTGCTGCAGCCAACTATTGTATATCTCAGGTTTATAAATTTCATTACTGTTAAAGATACAAAATTCTATTTACGCATACCGTATTCACAAAACCAGAATTTATCAAATGATAAAAAAAAATTGAAGAACAGTTGACAGCCATAAAAAATCTGGTAGGTTTCTTTGCTTATAGGTTTCTCTATGATTCCAAATAATAAAATTTTTAAACTTTAGAGATGGATCTAAAACGGACAGACACATCTGGCCAGGAAAAATGGGACATGAATTTATGTATATCCAAAAATTGACTGACACAAAAACAAACCTAAACAAATAAACGAGCTTAGTTTATGATCAGCTGAATTACTTAAATCGAAAAGTAATTTTGTTTAATAATCACTAAGATCAAAGAGAAAAACCATAAATAAGAGGTGAACATATGAAAAAAAAAAGAAAACTGAAGAAAAAATGGTGATAGATTTGTGAAGTGTGATATAATCCGTAAAATCGGATAGAAATTACAACTTGTTTTTGCAACAAATATTGTTAGTTTGATATACACAAAAAGATATATTTCCGACCAACGATGTCAACAAGCTGCAGTTGCGTTATTAAGTTGATACACTAGTAATCTGCTGAGAAAATTTTGCTTTGAGTTTGTGAATCTGGCGGACAAGTTTTTTTTTTCCTTCTTCTTTCAGTTTTCCTTTTTGCTTTATATTTCTATATACTGTTTTTTACACAGACATACACATAATTTACCATTGAAAATACAATAGCAAATAGGCAAACAAATGAACACTTCAAATTGTCCTTCTGGTTGATTAAGACATCTTTATGGCAGGTCCATCTTTGTCACAATAGGGACAACCAA